ATATATATATAGGGTTTTATATATATATATATCCCTCTCACCCAACCCATATCTTGCATGACTCAGGTCTAAGCACACCAAGGAACCTACCGCCGATCATTCGCCCCTACAAACCCGCATGTCCGCCTATGGTGGTAGCCCTATGTCATTGGCTGATCACTTGGCACTTGACGACAGCACCGAGAATGTGCAGAGACAGTCGTATTCTCAGCCCTCCAGCCCCAATGCCTCGCCATCGCTGAAGGTGCTTATTTCGTTACGTGTGGAAATAAGATGTAGTGATAGTGTATAGTCGCCCGTGCGTGGGAGATTGAATGGTGCGATCTGGAGGTCGTGTGTATGTATGTCTTTAATTTTTGACTGATGAGTGTTTCGCTAAAGACGCTTATTTCGACACTTGTGGAAATAAAGTGGGGTTGTCAAGTATGGATGCTATGATAGTGGTAGAGGCCATTTGTATGTCTTTTGTCATTTGAAGTTGGCTGTCTGTCGGGCCGCCATCGATGAAGGTGCGTATTTTGTCACATGTGGGAATAAGATGTTTTTATTAAGCATGGTTGCTGTGACAGTGGTAGAGGCAGTCTGTGTGTTTATATCGATAAATATTTCATCTGTTTGCTGTGATAGGGTTTTAGGGTTTAGTTGATGTTTCATCTGTTTGCTGTGATAGGGTTTTAGGGTTTAGTTGATGTTTCATCTGTTTGCTGGGGTTGTAGGGTTTAGTTAATGTTTTAGGATTTAGTTGATGTTTCATCTGTATGTGTGTCTGTCATATCCACAGCAATAAACTCATTGTCTTGTTACCGCTGTACGTTCACATTGGTCCACGTGTGTACGCTCACCTCTTCCTTACGACCGTAAGCCCACCTCTTATCTACTACCGTAAGCTCACCTCTTAATTACTACCCACAGTCACATCGGTCCCTGCGCCTTCGTCTCAGAAGTATGAGTTTCAAGAAACCCCACTCACCAACAGCTGAACAGCGCACTAAATCAACCGCAGAGGAAGTGCTGCCCACACCCACAGCCAATGACACCACGCACACCGCTGTCAGGACGGCCGCCAGATCGTTGAGGTAGGGCTAAGTGAGAGAGAGAGATATATATATATATGTGTGTGTGTGTGTGTGTG